CTGCTCAAATCAACAAATAAAACTTAAAGACCCACATACTGAAAACCTACTTGGTCCCAGGAAAACCAAGACACTTGCTCTTCCTCTTACAAACATCCTTAGATGTTTTCAGTGATTGTATTGCCTATTAGTTTTGAAATTTAAATGTAAATGAAGTTAAAACTTCAGTTTCTCAAGGCACTAGCTAATAGTACTCAATAGCCATGTTTGGTTGGTTAATGGCTACCATATTGGAGAGTGTGGGTCAAGAAGCAGGGACATCCCTTCCCCTCTTTACACAACCAACCTTGGAGGATCTGGGTTTGGATCACTTGAGAGAGCTGAGGTTTCCTCTCTTGGCCTTGAAAGGTTGTTAAAGCAGAGAAGCTGTGGAGTAGGGCCATGGGGTAGAACAGCCATCTTGGCAACAACAAGGGGATGCAGCAAGACTTAAGAGGCCACTAAAACCACCTAGGACAGAATAATTATATACTGATGTGGAACCATGATAGCTGGGAAGGAGAGAGGCTGGTGTACAGAGGTATGCCAGCTACAAAGGCACTAACATGTGCTGATTCATTAGATGTGGGGAGGGGGCATAGGAAGTAAGAGGTAGCAATCTGAGATGAGGCCTTGGCCCACTTCCCCTTCTACCCATTCCCTCCCCACCCCAAACCTACCAGCAGAGTGTTCCAATTATCTATTGCTGCTGAACAAAGCAGCCCAAAATGCAATGGCTTAAAACAAGTTTCATTAGTATCTCTCCCAGTTCTGGGGAGGTTTGTTCAGCTCAGCTGGGCAGTTCCTTCTCAGGGTCTCTCATGCTTTTGAAGTAAGATGAAGGCTTCCTCACTACAGGTCTGGTGGCTGATGCTCACTGTCCACTGGAAGCTTAGCTGGGCCTGTTGGCTGGAATACTGGTATGGGCCAAATTGTGCCTGCTCCCTGAAATGTGCATGTTGTATAACTCCAACTCCCCCTAGTACTTCAGAATATGATTGTATTTGGAGATAGAATTTGGAAAGAAGTAATTAAGTTAAGAGGTCATTAGGGTAGACCCTATTCCAATATGGCTAGGGTCTTCAGAAGTGGAGATGAAGACACAGACACATACAGAAGGAAAGTCATGTAAAGACAAAGTGAGAGGACCACCATCTACAAGCCAAGCCATCTTCAGAAGAAATCAGCCCTCCCAATGCCTTCATCTTCGACTTTTAACCTCCAGAATAGTGATACAATACATTTTTATTATTTAAGCCATTCAGTCACAGCAGCCTGAGGAAACTAATGCAAATGCCTCTAGGTGGCCTTTCGATGTGGGCCATGCTTCCTCATGGCAGAGCAGATGAGTTGCAAGGGTGAACATCCCAAGAGGACCAGGTGGAAAGAGCACTGCCCTTTATGACCTGGTTTCAGAAGTCACATGGTGTCATTTTCTCTGCAGTTACAGCCTCACTCCAATTCAAGACAAGGGAGCAGAGACCTACATCTTAATGGGATGATTGTCAAGGTCATGTTGTAAGAAGAGCATGTAGAATGGAAAATCTTGTTGTGGTGATCTTGGAAAATACAATGTGCCATACAAGGTTTGCAACTTAAGCAATGAGGGATGGTGTTGTTAACGAAGTCAGGGATTACAGGAGGAAGTGGAGGAGTTCTGAGGCAGGTTAGATGTAATGATGTAAGATTTGAACAGACTGGGTCAGCCAAGCCTTTGAAAATTTATCTGACCACCAGGAAGTTAGATATGTGAATAACAGCCTCAGCAACAATTTCCGAGTTGGAAATAACAATTTAGGGGCCATCAACATATTAGAAGCCAGAGAGTTCTAAGAATACTAATAGAGAGAAGATGGGAGTTTAGTGGATATATCAACTACCTGTTGCTGAATAAACCATTCCAAATCTTTTTTTTTTTTTTTTTGAGACAGAGCCTCAAGCTGTCCCCCTGGGTAGAGTGCCGTGGCATTACAGCTCACGGCAACCTCCAACTCCCGGGCTCAAGCGAGTCTCCTGCCTTCGCCTCCCAAGTAGCTGGGACCACAGGCGCCCGCCACAACGCCCGGCTATTTTTTGGTTGCAGCTGTCATTGTTGTTTGGCGGGTCCGGGCTGGGGATTCGAACCCGCCACCTTAGGTGTACGTGGCTGGCGCCTCAGCCGGTTGAGCCATAGGCGCCGAGCCAACCATTCCAAATCTTAACGGCTAAAAACAGTAACTTATTGTCACGTTTCTGTAAGTTACTTGGGTAGTTCCACCTTTGGTTTTACCTGGGCTCATTCACATGGCTGCATTCAGCTGCAAAGCCCAAGATGGTCTCATTCATATATCTGGTAGTTGGTACAAGCTGTTGGCAGGAGGCTGGGCATGGCTGTTCCAGCTGCGCCACTCCATGTGGTCTTCCATCCAGGCTTCTTTATAACATCATGGTCTCAGGGCAGCATCCCAACAGGACAAGTTCCAGTGCATAAGACTTAGCAAGCAAGTTTCCTAATTAGCCTCATTGGCCAAACCTAGAGTCCATGTGGGAGGATTTACCAGGAGACATGATTCATTGCAGTCATCAGAGTAACAATATACTACTACAGGAGGAAATACCAGGTGGGGCTCCACTCCACTTCGGGTTGGACAGAGAAGAAACCAAAGCTGAAAACCCAGAGAAAGACCAAAAACACGCAGAGCCAAGGAAGCCAGAGAGGAGGAATTCTCTTGGGACAGTGCCCCTCGCCCCAGCACTAGTGTGACTTTGAGAGTAAATGTTTCCTTACCTTCAATGCCCAAAGTGCCTCACTTGCCCTGACTCCAATCCCTGCATGAAACCACCCTCAATATTTGGTGCTCTGGAAGTCAGTGTCCTTAACACCTCAACATTATTCTCAGTAGTTTGTGTCACTGTAGTCTTAAGCACCAAACACAACTCAGTGCAAACAATTCTGCAAGTCAAACCAGCACAGTCCACATTTGCGAACTGTATGATGACCTGGCTTGATTAATAGAAAAATCACAGTATTTTTAAATGCTTTTGACCAAAACACATAGTAAAAAGTACTTTATCAAGACCTAGAACACGCATGCATAGACATACACATGTATGCACCCATGTATACAGTGACCAAAAGTTTCCTGAGGCATAGGAAAGTAATAGTAGGCTACCTGTGCCTTGTATCACTTTCTACTCTATTTAACTTTTTTTTTAATGTTTATCATTTCCTGCTAAATTGATTTCCCCATCCACCTGACCATCCAGAGCAAAAGTCAGAAATCTGGCCAAATCCTGCCTTTAACCTTGTTTTGTTTCACCTGTTGTTTTGCTGTGGTTGGGGTTTTTTTTGGGGGGGGGGGAGAGGTAGTTGTCTTGTTTTGTTTAAAAATTGAATTTTATGACCTTCTCCTGTACCATTTCCAACTGCTTGATAATACTCAACTGCTTCACACATCCTGTTACCTGTCTGGTGCCTCAATGCATTTCTATTTGGGCTTTCCAGATAGCTAGATTCTAAAGGCATGGATGAATGCATTAATGCATTAGACCAATATTGAATGGGAGTCTCTCATTATCCAGCCACTATTGCTGACACTGGGGATATAGCAGATAAAAAAAAAATGCGTTCATGGAGTTGAGATTCTAGAGGGGGAGACAGAGATTTAAAACAAACAAACAAAAAAGTAAATCTTTTCTTTACTAGAAGGAGAATAAATTAGAGAAAATAAGGCTAGATGGGGATAGGCATGGATCTACCCGGATTTCAGGCTCTCCTTTATGACAATAAAGGAGCATAGTACAGTCCTACCTAACAGAGGAGAGCTAAGAGAACGTGAGAGAACACAGCCAAAATTTTCCTGAAAAAAGAGTTCTCAGCCTGCCGGAGCAGGTGGACCTGACCCATCACGTCTCCACGTTACTCTGCCAAAGGGCAAAGCACCGTTAACTTTAACCTGGAAAATGTCAAAACCAGACCGTCATTCCGGGGAGGAAACTTTGCAGTCGCCGCACATTGGCCCCGAGCTTGGCTGGAAGCGCTTCGGGTATATTTCAGATTTTCAGTCAGGCCCTGGCAATCCTCATCGCCCCCTCTCTCGTGGGATACACCGCCACCTCACTAGCTCTGCACACACTACCCTCCCGACCGGAATCCCCGGCGCCTGCCTGCTCTCTCGCCTCTCCTCGCTCACATTTTCCGCCGCAACAAAGCCAAACACGGCACCCCCGGGGCTTTCACGCTCCTGAGCCCCTAGACCTGCGGTTCCTCCTGCTAGGAGGCCGCAGCCGCTGCCCCCGCGCGCGCCCCCGGTCCCTGCTTGCGCGCTCCTGTCGGTCCCTCGGAACCCAGCCCGGAGGCCCCCTCCCCGAGGTGGCCCCCTGGGCCCAGCGGCCCCTGCCCTCTCTGTCCCGAGCACCTCTTTCGGTCTGGCTCGTTTGCACCGTAATTACCGATTTTTCTAAATCTTTCCCCTCCCAGACTCGGGCCTCCTCTGGCTCTGGAGTTGTCTGGGTTACTCGCTGGGCACCCCAAGCTCCTAGTCCCCAGCTCGAGTGACAGAACGTGCACCCAGGCTCGGACCGGGCCCCAGTGAGCCCTGCCCGCCCGCTCGCTCTCGACCCCCTCCCCGTGGCACCCGAACCTTGGCTCCCGCAGGCCAGAGCCCCCGGGGTGCCAGCGGAGCGGCCGCCCAGTCCCCGACCGCGCAGGCGGCGACCCGCGGACCACATGTCCCGACAGGCTGCGCGTTGCGCATGCGCAGCTGGCCGGCGCTTGAGTGGCAAGTTGTTTGTTAC